GGACACATGTCTGCTTCCATCACTGTGGTTCCGCATGCCAAACTCAGGCTACGTCCCCTTTGACTGTTCTTCAACGGAATGTTTCGACCACAGACAGATCCACCTACCAAACGGATTCGACTCCCGGCTTCCGTTCTTCAGTCCCTGTTATGGTGGATAGACCCAGCCAATCTGACTGTAGGCGTTCCATTTCGACCCCGGTACCCTACAATAACCCTCGGTACCGATGCGTCTCTACTGGGATGGGGAGCAATCTGTTCCGATCTACGTACCCAAGGGATATGGAGTCATCAGGATTGCAGGAACCATATCAGTTTTCTGGAACTTCTTGCCGTTTTCAAAGCCCTTCAATCATTCGAGGATGTGCTTCTGCACCAGGTCGTCCAGGTGACCTTGGACAACATGGTGACAGTCTTTTATTTAAACAAACAAAGGGGAACCCGATCCCAGAAACTAGCCCGCCTGGCCATGCAGATCTGGGACTGGTGCATACCGAGAGGTATCACTCTTGTAACAATTCACCTTGCGGGCACAGAAAATACAGACGCCAATCTCTTGAGCAGACATACGTTGCGGTCCCACTAATGGGAGCTAGACCATTGGGTTCGTGACATGCTATTTCACCGATGGGGCCAGCCAGACATCATTCTGTTTGCCACACAACGGAACAGGGCATGCACGGCATATTGTTCCAGAGCGGGAGTGGGTCAGGACTCCCTCAGGGACGCTTTCATGATTCCCTGGACAAACATGACTTTTTATGCTTTCCCTCCGATCCCACTCATCATGAGAGTGTTGGCAAAGATAATTCACGAAGGGGCCACAGGGGTACTGATCACCCCCCCGTGGCCACGCCAACCATGGTTCTCAACTCTCCTTCACGTCTCCCAAGAAGAATTTCTCCAACTCCCTCTTCTTCCTTATCTCGTTACCCAGAGGGAGGGCACGATCCGCCACCCAGACTTGCTGTCACTGAAACTGACTGCATGGAGGATACGATAACCGTATGCGATGCACCGGTTTCGACACCACCAACCGTCTCGGCCATTCCTGCTCAGCAGAGTCTACACCCAGACCTACAGTATATTCTTGAATCTGCACTACAACCATCTACTAGGAAGTCATACGCGGCAAAATGGCAGAGATTCTCTAACTTTGCCAATTTACACTCGTTTCCGGCCCCCTTGGCTTCTGTTTCACAGATATTTCAGTTTCTCTTTGAATTGCATCAGTCTGGACTCAAACCTTCATCCGTAAAAGTTTATACAGCAGCAATTTCACATTACCGGGGAACTGTACATGGTCTCTCCAGTTTTGCTCAACCTTTGATTAAAAGATTTTTGAGAGGATTGAGTAATCTGCATCCAACTATAAGACCTCTAATGCCCACCTGGAGTCTTTCAGTGGTTTTACAAGCGCTGACTCGATCACCTTTCGAACCCATGGCGACGATTGATCTACGCCTTGCTTCATGGAAGACTGCCTTCCTTGTTGCAGTGACTTCAGCCCACAGATCCTCTGACCTCTGCGCCCTTCGGGTAGACCCCCCTTTTCTAAATTTTCATAAGGAAAAAGTGGTTCTTCGGCCGGATCCGTCTTTCCTTCCGAAAGTCGCTACTTCGTTTCACATGCAACAGGAGATTGTTTTACCAGCATTCTTTCCGACCCCTTCGAATCCAATAGAGCGATCTCTACATATGCTGGATGTTCGTCGTTGCTTAGCCTTTTATAGGTCCAGGACTGAGTCTGTTTGGCGTTCCAATAGACTTTTTGTGAAATATTCGGAACATGACCGAGGCTGTCCAGTCACTTCACAACGTCTTTCGAAGTGGATAGTAAATACAATTGTCCTGACTTATCAGTTAGCTAAGTTGGACTTGCCATCTACTCCAAGAGGTCATTCTACAAGAGCTGTTGCTGCTTCTTCGGCCTTTGCATCAGGGGTCCCGATAGAAGATGTGTGCAGGGCGGCCATTTGGGCTACCCCGTGTACCTTCGCCAGACATTATAGACTTGATGTCCGTGCCAGGCAGGATTGCTCTTTTGGAAGAGCTGTCCTTTCTTCTGTCCTTCGCTGATGACACCTCCCTTCTCCATTTGGGGTAAGCTTGTTATTCTACCCATATGTGTGATGCAGAGGCCACGACGAAGAAGAGCAGGTTGCTTACCTGTAACTGATGTTCTTCGAGTGGCCATCTGTGCAGTCACACAACCCACCCTCCGACCCTGCTTGGTGTCATGGGTGGTCCGACTATTTCTTTCGATACTATGATCTCTTTGCTATGTGTCATACCACTACTGAATTTGGCTATCTTGTCATACTGACAAACCTTATTATAAGAACAAACGTTGGTCTTTCAAAGACTGGAAAATGGCGGACACTCCGCTCCTTATATAATGCTGGGGGGGGGGGAGTGGAGCTTTCCCGCCAAAAACCGTTAGCTGTTAATCTTCTGGCCAAAGGCACTGTGCAGACGCAGAACCCATATGTGTGACTGCACAGATGGCCACTCGAAGAACATCAGTTACAGGTAAGCAACCTGCTCTTACCGTTTTTCCTTCTGCATTGAGTAGTTGAACCCCCATTTCTTTTCTCTGTCTTTTACTTTGGACATATCTGAAGAAGGTGTTTTTGTTGTTGTTGCTTTTAGCATCCCTCACCAGCCTCAGTGCATTCTTAGCTTTAGCCTCCCTGATACCATTCTGCAATTCTGTGCTACCTGCCTGTATTCTTCCTTTGTAGCCTGGTCTTCCTTCCACTTTGTATACCTGTCTTTTTTTGCTTTCAGATCATCCATGAAGTCACATGGGCTTCTTCTGTTGTCTTCTACCCTTTTTTCCTTGTTGGAATTGTTTGTAATTGTGCCTTTAGAATCTCTTTTTTCAAAAAATCCCACCCATTTTGGTCTTCTTTTCTCATTAGAGTCACTTGCTATGGGACTTTCCTCATCATTGTTCTGAGTTTATTAAAATTGGCTTTCCTAAAATCCAGGGTACATGTTAGGCTTTTGCTGCCTTTAGAAGCAAGAATTCAAGTATGACAGGGTCACTTTCCCACAGAGTTCCTGTGGCTGCCACTTTGTCCACTGGGTCTTTTCTGTTGGTAAGTGTCAAGTCAAGGATAGCTGTTTCTCCTGTTCTCAGCAACACTTGTTAGGAATGTCTTGGAGGAGCTGTGTTTGGCAGAATTTGTCTCCCAGCAAACATCAGGGAAATTGAGGTCCCCCATAATGACAACATCGTGTCTCATTGAAATGCTGGCAATTTGCTTTTCAAAAGTTTCATTTTCATCTTCTCCTTCTCTGTAAAAAATAAATTATTGCTAAGACCAAAATGTATCAAGAAAGGAGACATTGCATCTAGTTTGGATGAACTTATCCCCTTGCAGCTGAACAACATTATTTTAGATTGTATGGACTTAGCAGGAAACTAGAAGATTAAATCAGTAAGCCTCTGGAAGACTAGGAGCACAATCCTGTACAAATTTAGACAGAAAACATCCTACAGCTCCTAACATTCCCCAGCCAACCAGTTGTATTATATCATCATCATCATCATTGTTGTCACCACCACCACCACCACCACCCTGCATTTATATCCTGCCTTTTTTGCTCTTGTGAGGAACCCAAAGTTTTAGGCCTTCTGTATGATTTAACGTGAACAGAATTGCATCTTTAATCCTCTTAGATCCAGCTGGACATGGGAATTTCATGTTTAGCACTCCCAACATCTGTCCTTTCTTGAAGAGCACCCCACAACAAAGGGGGAGGGGTTAGCTCTTTGCCCCACACCAATTTCATCTCCCCTCAATTCACTATCAGCCATGGAGGATAACTTACTGACCAGCTTTTAAGTTTCCCTCTTCATGGCCAAATAGCTCTGCCCTTTAGGTTCCATAAAATGGCTTCCCTGCCCTCTCTATGTTTTCAGTGCAAGCATTTGCAGCAAGGAAGTATTGGCACACCATCCAGGACACTGATTGGAGATGATAGACTGCCCTGATGCATTGGGATGAACAGTTGGGTGCATGCATCCTTCCTCAGTGCTGTTGCTTATGTTGACCATGCAGTGACCAAGGGGTGGAGCATACTGGCGGGTAAAGCTAGTCAATGTGACCCCAGTCCTACTTCAGATGGGAGGGTAGCTAGTAAGGAGGCTTATACTGTTAGGATTTTGTTACAGCCTGCAGGCCTGGACTCTCCTTCTAGTCACAGGGTGTAAAGCCTGTCCTTAACATCCCACCTGAAAAACATGTCTTGATTAACTTGAAAGCTTGTCAGCTTTTTGGAACATTCAGCTGAAGAGAGGCATTATGCAAATGTAATTTTTCCTTTAAAATGGTGGGGAAGCATACAGAAAATGGATGGTATACAGGCTTTGATTTGGATCTTAGTTTTGTATCCCAATCATAGATTTTGTTTTAAAATATAAATAGAAAAATCTCAGATGTGAGATTAATTTACAATTTTTCCAGGTCATTATGAGCACTGCCACCTTTCCACCTTATACTTTTGCACATTTAGGATGCTGCCAGAGAACACTTTTTTTGTACAATTGCCCTGTTTCGTTCATTGGACATTCTATAGGATCAGGATGACTGTTGTCTTACATTTGTAACCCTGTCCCCATGTCTTCCATCTTTTTTCCTTACAAGAACCCATTGAAGAGGGAAAGGCAGAATAGCTGCACAATATCTTTTTACTTGCGGCACTCAGAGCTCTCTCTGGAGCCTCTATTAGAATGAGAACACAGCTTTCATTCACCCAAAAGGGCTAAGCAAGAATGGAATTCTTGTCAGATATTTCAGTCTGCCACTGGCTGCAAATAAAATCACTGGCATACTCCACATTTATTGATGAGGTTCAAATGGACAACTTTACTATTTCAGAACTGTTCAAGGGATGCCTGTCCACTGAAAATCATGCTGATTTTGGTACATCCATTGTGCATTAAAATGCAGCTATAGTAAAACATGGTTTTTTAAACAATATTTGTTGCAGTATGGACCGACATTCACTGTGTATGTGCTGGGAAAACGATATACATTTGTTACTGAGGAAGAAGGATTTCAAGCATTTTGTTCATCTAAAGATACAGACTTTGAACAGGCAGTACAACAGTCTGTCCAGCATGCAGGTAGGTAAATTATTTTTACTTCAGTTGCAACATTTTTTCCTTATCACAGTAGACTAAGGGCTGAAACAGATGTGATGTACAGTACCTTAGTTTTCATGTTAAAACACACTTTGGGACTCACATTATGATTGGAGCAATGTTGTTGCCAGAGGAAGTGCTTAACACAGCGGTCTTGATTTCAATCTGCATCCTACCCTCAGAATTGCTATTAGTCTAGTATAGGCACTGCAGTGCTTCCTCTGTTTTTTTCCTGTTGGACTAAAACCAGCTTCATGGGGGTAATTTAGATGTGTGGGGAGAAGGATTAATTACCCCTCCCCCATCAATGTTGCTTCTAAAAAATCAGAGCTCTGCACAGCTATGTTAAAGATAAAACAAACATATTGGATAACCTCATCACATGCCTCCCAAGTCCTTTCTGTTTCAGTCCAAAAACTGTATGTTGTTGAACACTGGATAGTGAGAACTGTATTCATATCCCTGCTTAGGCATGAAGCTTGCCAGGAAAACTTGGGCTTGCTGACATCTTTCAGCTTAGCTTATTTTACAGCGGTAAGCCTGCAAGCATCACCCCTTTTAGGGAATACAAATTTTATTACTACTTAAAAAATCTCTGAAGTTCATTAACACTTCATTCATAGTTGGACTAAATGTTATATGCATCTAATCACAACTTTAAACATTGTTTCCTTTGTCAGAAAAATTTTCTATTTGGTATGTACAAATCATATAACAAAGCTAAAACAAAGTATAGTGTAAAAAAGAACCATTTTTTAAAAAGAAACAATTTTATTTTTACTGGAAAATAAGGCGATGGAATAGTTCAGTATTTACTATGTACCTTGAGGTTTGAAACTGTAGAGGTTTTAAGTAACAAAACTCTTTGTTAGCTAGCAGAGGCAGCTAGATGAATTTGTGGAATTTGGGCGTGTTCATTAACCAAGTGTATCAGAAAAGACCCCATTTTTCTTAATCAGATGAGGTCTGGCAGGGTGGGCAAGGAAGAGATAGATGGTCAAGAAGCAGAAGCTAAAGGGACATTAGATTCCTTAAGGGATCAAGCTGGAAAACTGTGAACACTGCTATTCAAAAATATGTGTTAAAATAGTGTCACTGTTATACTGCCCAGACTGACTTCTTCCATTGGTCCACACTAGTAGCATTTTCATTACTCAATGAGGGGTGTTTCTCTCTCTCTCTCTCTCTCTCTCTCTCTCTCTCTCTCTCTCTCTCTCTCTCTCTCTCTGGGTATGTGTAAATTTAGGGGGTGGAGAAGTGGCTTTGTTCACACTTCGCTGAAGTAGTACTGTTGCACAAATCAGTGCTACAGACATGAATAATGTAGCATGGAGAACCAACAAAAAACCACCCTTGAACCATGCAGGAAATATATAGCCTGTAGATTTCAATTTCTTTCTTCCTAAGCAAACTGGCCAAAGGCAGCAGAAATTAAAACAAGAAAGAGCACTACAAGAAAGAGATCGACCAGTATCATGTGTTTCTGCCCCTGCATATTTGTGTATATCTAGAAACAAGGTTGCTCATGAGGTTTGTAGAATCCAGGTATTTTCAGGGTGATTCTAGGGCTTATTCTAATTGATTGGTGTTCTTTTTAAAACTTGTCTTTTAAAGTTTCCGTTCCTGAAGAAATATTTTACAAGAACAGGAGCAGGCTTTATAGCATGATGAAGGGGATACTGTCTGTTTCAAATCTGCATCTGTTGTCTGACAGTCTCTGTCAGGAACTTTGGGAGAACATGGAGGCTCTAGGTCCTGAGGGAACAAAAGAGCTCAGAGACCTTGTAAGGTGGGTGATTTTACAAACCAGGGCCAATAGCACAGGCCTCTCTTCTTTTCATTCAATGTGACTAAAGATTTTGTATAAGCCATAAGTCATAGTCTCAAGGAGAATAAATGAGCATTTTCAAGTATGTGGCTGTTAAGAAGTCTGGCTAATATATGTGATGCTGTGGCTGCTCTCAAGCCCAGGGTCTTTCCAGAGTTACTCCCTTGTGCTTGCTATTGTTCTGGGTGGAACTGACCACTGAACAAATCAGTACAAATTCCATATGTATTTCATGGTATAGACCAGTGGTGGCGAACCTATGGCACGAGTGCCGCAGCAGGCATGCAGAGCCCTCTCTGTCGGCATGTGAGCCAAGTCACCCCAGCAGCCGAACATCGGATAACAGCACACATGGGGCCATGCACATGCTTGGAAAGGAGTAGCAGCGCCAGGCAATGACATCATGAGCTGCGACTCATTAGCTGCAACTCGTCTGAGCTTTTGCATGGTCGGTCAGTGCGCTGCCAAGAATATATATATATATATAGGGCTTTTTTTGTCATAGAACGCACCGGAACGGCATTCCGGCACCTTTTTTTCAATGGATTTTAGGAAGTGATTTTGGAGTAGCAGATCAGCAGCAAACATCATTAACATAGTGCCTGCAGGCTGCTATTGTGTCTGCTATCTGATAGTGGGAGATAGCTGCTTGGGAAGCTGTTCCCGCTGGCTGTTCGGCTTTGGATTGGTGTGTGTGCTTACTGCCAGCGGGGACATGAGTTCCGGCACCTTTTTTTTACAAAAAAAGCACTGTGTGTGTGTTGTGTGTGTATATTTGCTTGGACTGGCTGTGAGTTTTAATACATTCTTTTTTATTAACACAAGATTTTAGCTTTTGAGTTTTCTTATGAAAAATTGAAATTTAATATCTAAGATTCAGCAAAGAGATGTTCTAATTAAGAGACTGAGATTATTTTAATGCTGTGCTGTTCCCCTGGCATATTTGAATCTGTAGCATCATATTTAGTTGTTTGTGAAGAATTTATGAAATCCAGAGCAAGTATGTGTGTGCGTGCGTGTGTGTGTGTGCGTGTGTGTGTATTAGCTTGGACTGGCTTTGATTTTAGCAGAAGCCCCCACAAGGTAGGAAGTGCACTCAGATGCCTTTTCCAGAGCAGGCAAAAGCACGCCAAATGCAAACTTTTACCTTTCAACAAAAACCTGTTTGTATCATTGAAAGCTCTGTTACTGTGTTTTTCTTTTAAGACAAAAGATGTTAATGTATGAGTTGTTTTTTTCTAAACTAAAACCTCAGTATTCAGGTTTTACTGCAGTGTTGGCACTTTGCGATAAATAAGTGGGTTTTGGGTTGCAGTTTGGGCACTCGGTCTCTAAAAGGTTCACATCACTGGTATAGACCAATCTGACTCTGCACTGACTCTTGCACACAAAGTGCACAAAAATGCAAAGGACTCCAAGGAATTCTGTCTGAATAACCTAAAATCATGATACCTTGTGTTAGACTGACCTCTTCTGGCATGGAAAGGTGCAGTCTTTGGCAATCCTGCAAATTGTAAAGAATGAAGTGGGCAGAGTTTTATAGAAAAAATGCCACACCACGGTCTTACTAAAACATGCAGGTGCACCCACCCCACAACAGTAGCAACAGAACAGCTGCAACAGGGATGGAGAGCCTTTTGCTCGCTCAGCTCACCCATCCTGCCTACAGCCCTGACCCCATGGGAAAAGAATGCCTGCCCGCAGTGGGGACTCTCCTGTGGTCCACTTGCTCTCCTGACTGGGAGAGGAAGCAGAGTTCAGAGAAATTACTGCTGTTACCCCAGGTTATTAGTAGCAGAAAATCCTCTCTCTGCTAGAAAGAAGTTTCCTCTGTGCAAGGGACAGTGGCTTCCTTCCTGCCTGTGCATGGAGGAAAAAGCATTTACATTCATGCACAGATGGGCAAACAACTCCCACTCTCTGCAGAAATAAAATGTATTCTCTTCTAAGCAGCTTCTGGCCTGTGTCTGCATGGAGAAATATATAGTCTGGCACGAAATTTGCTGTTTCTTTCTGTATGGAGGAGACAGTATTTTTCTCCATGCAGGGGAAGGTAGGAATCATCTCCTCCCAGTCTGTTCACAAAGAAAAGTATTTTTTTTCTTTCATGCACAGTCTGGCAGAGAGTTGTCTGACTCTGCACAGAGGAAAATATGCAAAGAAACAGTGGAATGATGTCAGGAGTGGGCCTTTGCAGAGTTAGGACTCGGGAAGGGTTGAGAGCAACCTGGCTGCCAGGGACTGAACACTTACTTACCCACTCCTGCACTAGAAGGTCTCTTAGTCTGTTTGACTGCTTTTACTGGCTTACAGTCATTGTTACTTATTTTCTTTTTTATTTATCATATTTATATCACAAATCACTTGCTCACAGCTTCTCAGTGAACTCCATGGCTGAATGGGGAAGAGAACCCAGTCCCACACTCAACCACTGCACCACACTGGCTCTTCAGTTTATATAGTTTATACTTACCTTTTACTAGCTGTGTGGAACAACTGTCTATTATGGAAAGATTCTAAAACATTCTAAGCAGATTCCATTATAAATATTCTAAATAGATTATAAAATTATTTTCTTTCATGTACCACTATATTTTTTCTTCCCTCACAGGCATATCATGTTCCCTGCAGTAGTGAACATCTTGTTTGGAAAAGACACATTTCTGACAGTTAGGAATAATATCAAGGACTTTGAAGAGCACTTTCAAAACTTTGATGACAACTTTGAATATGCTACCCAACTTCCTGAATATTTTATGAAGTAAAGATTTGGGGTTTCTGTTTCACAGTATAATTTTATCTATGTTTTAGCTATGACTATCCTTAGATGACTGTTCATTATGACTACAGTATTTTGGATTTGATCCATAGGCCACTTAAGGGTTCACAAAGGCTGCCCCCATGGACTCCCCTGTCCAGGGAGAGCAGGTTGGTTACCACCTTTTGCCTGTACCACTGTAGCTATTGAGTGCAATGGCAGAGAGGGCACGGTTCAGCTGCTGTGCTGAGCTCATCAAGCCTTGCTTTATGCTGACTGGCCATCCTGGTCAGAACAACCCAAATCAGGTTCCTTTAAGCAATGCACTGGGCAGCTTTCCTCCCTCTGCTCCCTTGTGTTCCTAGCATTAGGGACAGTTTATTGAAGTGGCCACGATTCCCTTTCAGACCAAGCAGCCTGTTGCTCAGCCATCCTTGTGGACAAGCTGATGGCTCACGCTGAGGACCACATTGTCCAAAGAGAGTGCTGATACCTGCCACTGTGGTTTGAACTTCTGCAAATTAGCATCCCTCAAATGTACACTTCTGTGCAGGCTTCCTTTTGAATTGCACATAAGACATTTATCACATGCATTTCAATATGTTTCCTTCTCCCAATGTAGAAAATGGTCTATATCTAAAAAGTGGCTTCTTAAACATTTTGCACAAGTTGTATTGCGTGCAGAGAAAACTAATTTGTCACCTGGCTCTTCTAAGGTAAATTTTGTATATGTCTTCTCAAGTTTGTATTAATTATTATTTAGAAAACATCTAACATTTTACTATGTACAGGACAATTAACCAAAAGTACCTGCCAATGGCTTCTGTAAATCAGCTTGTTATAGAAACAGCTGAGGTCCAGAAGTGAAACATTACTTGTTTCTGAGTGTGTCCCACAGCACACACTGTGAGATCCTAGTTGTCTTTCGGTTTGTGTTCTTTCTTTTTTATAACAGACACTATTCCAGAATGTGTTGGAGACCTTGCATGGGAAACAGTTCAGTGCTAATTATGGTCTCTTGCTCCTCTGGGCATCTCAGGCTAATGCAATTCCTGTAAGTATAAATCTAGAAGATCCTTTGATCTAGAGGTAAACTCAATCAAGGAACCATGAACATAAGCACCTGCAGACCTACCTGCCACAGCTTTGGCCTTGAGTTCAGAGTCAGTGGAAGATGAGCTGGCTCAGTCTGGAACTTCTGTACCAACAGCTGAGGAACAAGACTAAGTTCCTAATATGGATCTGAAGGCTAGTGGTCAAGAACCTTTGTAATCAAAGCTATGTATTTATCATTGATTTACTGATTTGATTTATATACCATTGCATTAGGCCAAAAGGCTCTCTGGGTGAGAAACTAGTACCTTCCTGGGCTGCTTCCTCTGAGCATAATTCACAGTCCAAGTCCCTGTGGTTCCACTGTGCCTTTCCAACTGCACAGGGAGTATATCAGGCAGGAGGCCACAGAAAAGAGAGGAGCTCACTTTCAAGAGAAATTCTGCTCTTTAAGGCAGAAGGTAGAGTTTAAGAGAGTTGTGCTAGATGAAGGACTCTTGAAATCAAAATTGGCCTGCAGACTTTGTCAGAACAAATTGCTTCCTTGGAGTTTTCCATGATGCTCCCACTGCTTTGTCTGCAGGTATCTGTTGTGGATGAGTTAGACCACTAACTGGGCTGCAGATTGAAGCATTTAGTTGTAGTCAGTCATCAAAACCTTAGAGAACATACCATAAAAGTTGGAGGCCTGTTAGGACTAACAGGTACGTTTTAGGTCAGAGAATTGGCAATCTGTTGCAAATAACAAAAAACAAAAATAAAAACCTGGGTTGAAACCTACTGAGGTTTTGAAATACTTGAACAGAGAGATGCACTGGAAAAAGATCTGTCCCCCATTAAAAGGGCAGTAATTTTCTTCTAACTCATGATTCTGATGATGTCAGCATATCTGCTGTTACCTGGCTTAGTAGCAAAGGAAGGATATCTCAAGCATATGGAATTTCCCAGGAGCTATCATTGCTGTCTGTTGATGTTGTCAAGGAAACATTATTGGGAGCAGAGGATAGAGGAAGGAATTGATGTCCCTGAGGTTTCTTTCTATGAGAAAATGCTTGCAAGGGAAATTTAGTAGTTGCTTCTTGAGATAGGCCAAGAAGAAGGTCTGCTTCCTTCTCAGGATGACTGCTTTGATACATGGACACATAGAAAAAGAGCGAGTCAGAAGGAGGCCTCCTAGACCATCTAGTCTGACTCCCAGCTCCAGCCGGCTCCATATGTCCCCATCCACCACACCTGAACATTTAAGAATGCTATGCGTTGTGCCATAGGAACTTTTAGTGGCCATGTAAACAGCACCTCTGCTTCAAGTCTTCCCACATCATCTAGAAAAGCAAAGGATGATTACTAGGCAAGGGATGGAACTTCCTCTTCCTCCCTCTTAGGAATCCAGTCAGAAATGAACTCTAGGACTATAATACAGGCCAGGTTTAAATATGTAGACCACCATCCAACCAAAGTAACATAGTTTAAGTCCTAGTAATTTAAGAAGAAATTTGGTCTTTCATTTAAATCAGTTGAGCCTCCAAGCTTTTAACTTGGGCTGGGTCATCCTAGTACTGTTAATTGCTAGAAAGAAAGCAAGAGCCCTGCTGAGTCACATTAAAGGCTTATCTGATCAGCATTCTTCCTCCCCCTGGCCAGCCAGATGCCTTTGGGAAGTCCACCATGAGCAGGCCATGCAGGCAACAGTCATCCCCATGTGGTTCCTCAGCCACCAGCATTCTGAGGTGCGCTGCCTCTGATCCTGGAGCTGGTGTACAGCCATCCTGGCTTGTAGATTCCTCCATGAATCTTTCCAATCCCATTTTAAGACATCTAAGCTAAGAGCCATCATCACATCCTGTGACAGTAAATTCTCTAGGTTAACAGAGAGGGGTCTTTTGTCATTCTATGATAATTCCTTCTGGTCTTTCTTCAGATTTCATTCTGGACTCTTGCATTTATTCTGTCTCAGCCTTCTATTTTCAAAAATGTCATGAAGGAACTAGAATCTGTTTATGGAAAATCAGGTAAGTATAGCCAGAGAGATATTTGTGGCATTTTGTAAACAGGTTAAAGCAGTTAGTATAAATGCAAACCCTAAACTCTTTTGCCCATTAATTTCAGAGATCCTGAACCTCTTTGGTCCTGTCTGACATTTGACACTATGGGAAAGTGTTGAGGTTGCTCTCACAATTTGGATGCTGTGTGTGTGGCGGAGTGCCTTTTCACAAAATATAGGGGGCATAGCTAGTCACAAAGCACACAATTCACAAGTAACTTACCCAATTACATGGCAGAGATGGGTTCGGAGTCCTCAAAACACAAAATTCTTGCTTGAAGTGACATTTATGGAAATTAACAATCACACACACACACATCACAGCAAACACGCAAAAAACTAAAAACACTCAAAAACAATTCCCCAACCCTCATCCTACACAGAAAAGTTAAAGGACCAAGATATGGTAAAATTTGTGAAAGTGCAAACATGGAATACTATTGTATACAACTGTTGCAGGTAAAGAAAAAATCAGAGTCTCTCAGGATGACCTTAAAAGGCTCCAGTTTACCAAGTGGTGCATTTTGGAAACTATACGGTTAAGGGCACCAGGGGCCATTCTCAAGAAAGTAATGAATCCAATAAAAGTTGGGGTAAGATTTTTGTTTTCTGTTTTTTAAAAGACCTATAGCAATGCATTGTAATTCCCCAGTTAATAATCTTCCAAATTAATACATCACTGAATATATGAACCACTTATGCAAGCGTAGATGGTGCTTTCTTTCAAGTCATCCATTTTTCTTGAACAAACGAATCCTGAGCACTGTGATTTCCTTACTGAAGAGGATGAGTTCTGCTAAAGATTATTTACAGTTGGTGGTGTATAGTAGGTCCCAAACAATGTTACTGTTTTGAGATTCATTTCTCCATTGAAGGTATATTGGAGAACACTAAACTCCCTCATTCAGGGCCTGAGCAACACTCAAGACTTTCATATATGCACTGTTCCTAAATGCACCACTTTAGCCCTGATCAGTAATTTTTCATGAACGGAGTATTAAATTTATGTGAGGGACACAGGGCTGGGTGTGTGCCCTCCACATGCCTGTAGGCAACAAATCCATAGTTCTTGAGACTTTCGCATGGATTGGAGAAGTCAACTTCTATGCATGTTTTTGTGTAAGTGAGTAGAATGTCCCACGTGAGCAGGAGCCCTAACAAAGTGTGGAGAGTTCTACTCATGTTCATGGGAATGCAAATTGAGCCTCTTCAGATCTTGGCCCTCCCATCTGGCAAAGTAGGTGTAAGTATAGCAGGACAGGGGATGCTGGAGGTGGGCAAAAGAGACTGACATAGGCTGCCCTGTGCTCTTTACACCTCTTTAGAAATACGCCCTGCTTAGGTGTATTGTCTGAAGAGGATTTTGAGTGATGACTTGTCATGCGTGGCTTGGAGTGCCCTACTTGGCCAGACCATACCGACTCCATCTTAGCCAGGTCCAAGAAACAGAAAGCTCCCTCTTGCAAGCAGTTACAAGACTCTGCTTAAGCAAAAGTCCAGCTCACCTGGTGCTGGCAAGACAGGTGACCTGGCTGAGATCATTTGTAGGCCAAACATTGCCTCTTAGCCAACCCGGGAATCTGTCCCAGTGTCTAAACAATAAAGTTCTTCCAGCACTCATCTCAGAGCTGAGCCATTACTGGAAACTCAACAAACAAAACCAAGAGATTATTCTGGAATCTCCACCCAGGTAAGTTGACAGGGGCCATGTGACATACACTCCACTGGAGCTGAGTGCCTTTCTTTTCCAGCACAAGTGCCAGGAGCTAGTCTCCCAGGAATTCACACTACACCATTTCAACACCCAGTCCACACAGTGGGCTGAGTACAACCTGTAATCTAGCTGTGCTCCCCTAAGGGCACAGGTGGGCAGGAAAGAAGCCCAACAAATAGGAACCTGGTAGATCCTTGCCCAGTCATTCCCAAGGGATTCAGTGCCAAGCAACTGAGGAGACTGGCTCTGCTTTACTCTCCCTGGGGGCAGCCAGTACCAGTGGTGCTGCTGCACCAGACTGCGTGACTTCAAATAGGGTTAACTGCATGTACCAGGTCACCATACGTATATAGACAAGATTGCCTGAAATGTAACAAATCAAATGGGTTCACGATGACTGCCTCTGCTGAAATAGGTATCAAAATTGTCTGGTTTATATTTCTAAGAACATGTTTTCCTGCTTTTAGAATATTGTTATCCCTGCTGGTGACCTGCTGATGTTGTCTCCATACTGGATTCATAGAAACCCAAAATATTTTCCTGAACCCCATATTTTTAAACCAGTAAGTTATTTTCATTAGGACCAACTGTGTTTTTTCTTGTTGGCTGTTGTGTAGTATAACCCGTGAACCCTTTCCTCATAGGTATCCTTGTGCTTGGAAAGCCACATCAGAACTTTATGCTGGTTTGCACAGAGGAAAGCACTTTTGGTTCTTGCCTATTTGCTGTATGCATGGAGCATGGTTGCTGAGAGAACGGAGAAAGATGGGGTGGTGCCATCCACACATCCATTATCATATGCCTTCCTTTCATTCATGATTACTGTATGAGTATGGTTAGGCAGAACTTCATGATTGCTGCTGTTGGGACAAAAGACTTCCATAGATGGTGGGGGAATATATGTCGTTTGTGGTTATTCTCCGCTATTGATGGGTTATGCTGTTGATTGAACAGTGAAATCATCACTGCAAATTGCTGGCATGCCATTGGCACCATGTCACTGTGGAATCTTGCCATCCATCTTGTTTTTCATGCCATTATTTAGAGAAAAGCCCAAACCATTCAGAGTGTGTGGGAGAACCAAAATGATTTTAAAGGGTCAGGAAGAAGTTTTTTCCCTCCCTTGACCAAGAGGACAGAACTGTTTTTAGCAAGGAGGTCTCTGTGTCATTAGGTAAGACCACAATGCAGAGGTCCCAGTTGGTTCCACATTCCTTCAAGGAACCACCAACAACTTGGCTGCCTTTTGATCCACTGCATAAATTCAGGTAAAGAAGGCCACCCAGGTGTAACTGTGCACATGCTGATATTACTCTGGAATCAAACATTATTAACTCATAATCAAGAGTATATCAGGGGAAATGCATATAAACTATTTTTGATACACATTTCTTGGAATGTGTGCAGTTTTCTTTAATACAAACATTTTCTTCTGCACATTGATCAGAAAACTGCATTACAAGCTTCAGAAAACAGAGATCTCTAGTACAGTGTGATCAAAATGTTCTAGCTAGTGATCCAGCCAATCAGATAAGATTGCCCTGATTTACTTACTCATAGCAATTACGCCCCTGATGACTGGAAGCTTCCACATCTTCCTGGCCTGAATGTTTTGCCAGACAGGCAATCCCACCTTCCTTGTGTGTTCTGGGAAGGGGAAGAATGGAGACCAGAGAGGCCTCTGGATGGCTCACATCCTGGCCTCTGCTTTCCTCCTCCTGCTGCCCAGCACACTGCCCTTTATCCCTTCTCTGAGGCTGAGTTTCCAACATCAAAGGCTGAATGCAAAAAGCTGGGGGTGGGGGAGATCTGACTCCCCTGCCTTAAACCTTGGAGGAGGGAAATCTGGAATATCCAGAGGTCCTTCAGGTGATGTTCAGGGGCTGCTGCCATATGACTGCTGCCATAGAAATATATCAGAAATTGTGTGTAATCTAGGGCTGACCTAAAATTAAAAAATGCTGCAATTAACAGTGCTACAGAGCACTACAGTGGTTCAATTTAATATATTCAAGTTAAATTTAATCTTTTTTGGTACTCTAGCAGCTATAGAGTGATAAAAGGGCCTACTTTAGCTTGTAAACAAGTTAAATTTGGATCTTTAGCTACTCTATAGTCATTGAAATGCCTTTAGAATGAATTGGAGTAGAAACTACTTTGAGGTAGAGGGGTCTACAGTGGGGCAGGGACACACGTTGCCTGTGAGCTGCCTATTGTTTAACCCTGCTTCAGAGCATCACTTCCTGTTGGAGTCTTGAGTGGGAGTCAGAGGAAACTGAAAATCCCTTGCACTCTGCCAGAAATGACAGGTTAGGGAAGGTTGGTTGACAGCAGCCCATCCCCACTGCTTATTCTTCAGTGTTCATAAGGTAAATGTATCTGATACAGGGGGAAGGGGCAAGAAGAGCTTGTTGCAAGTTTCTTGAGACTTGATTTTTAGACATTCTTTGGCATTACCTGGAAATTTCTGGCTTTTTTCCAAGAAGTCTCTAAGCAAGCTTGGAATAATCAAATATGAAGAAAGCCAGGGAAATGTTTCCAATCACTAGCTCATGTAGGGCTGTGATTCACTCGGTGTGCCAGTGTTCTTGGGATCCTGCAGAAGCCCGTGAGCTGTTATGCAAACCATCTGCATACATTGCCTAACTACCACACTCTTCAAGCCTCTCTACAATTTATCATCCAAATCTTTACCCACCAAGATAGAGTCTTACTCAGGAATTATTTGTAACAGATCACATTTCACTTCAAGTTCATTGACAGGGCAAACTTGATTTTGGAAAAGAACATTTTCTTCCCATAGGATCGTTGGAAAGAAGCAGCTTTAGAGAAAAATACGTTCTTGGATGGCTTTGTGGCATTTGGAGGAGGGGCACATCAGTGTCCAGGAAGGTCAGTGGAATGGCTACAGTTTATACCCTTCAGGGAGCAACTCTGGTCCTTCTATTAGACCATGGGTCATCAAACTACAGCCCGCCTTGCTCCTTTATCCGGCCCACCTCAGAGCTTTTGGACTCGCTCGGAGAGAACTATCTCCAAGCGAGTCCAAAAACTCTGAGCTGGTGCAGGCATAACTGTGGGGAGATGGCCGCGATCGCGGGTGTGCTCATGCAGGGAAGACGGGCGCGATCGTGGTTGTGCTGGGGGCAGGGGAGTTGGCCTGATCGTGCTGGGAGGGAGATGGCTGCGATTGCACCCGTCTTTCCTGCAGGAGTGTGCCCACGATCTCGCCTGCCTTCCCTGCAAGATCATGCTCAGGGCAGGGAGGGATGGCTGCAATCGTGGTCGCGCTCATTCAGAGAAGACAGGCGCGATTGCGATCGTGCTGGGGTGCGGGGGGGAGATGGCCGTGGTCACACCTGCCTCCCCTGCACAAGTGTGCCTGCAATCGTGCCCATCTTCCCTGCATGAGCACAATCATGTCCATCTTCTCCCCCAGCGCAACCGCACCCATTTCCCCCCCTGCACAATCGCAGACATTGTAGCTGTGTCTCTTGAATATGGACATACTCTTCCCCACCTCATCTTGGGCTTCTGCTGCAGCCCAAGTGAATGGAGCAAACATTTTAAAATTATTTTTAAATTTTTAATTTTAATTAATTTTAATTAATTTTTAAATTTATTTTAATTTTAAGTAATTTTTAATGTGCAGTGTGCATAGGAATTCATATTTTTTTCAAAGTATAGTCCGGCCCCCCAACAGTCTGAGGGAAAGTGAACTGGCCCCGTTTAAAAAGTTTGAGGACCCCTGTATTAGACTAACATCTCTCTAACATCCTCTCTACTTTTCAAAACCCTCAGGAAGGCTGCATTGTGTTCTGCATTGTTTCTCGAAAAGCTTTGTAAGATTGTTACTGCCCCAAGCTGGTTTGGTTGATCTGCACATGGCCAAATGGAGGCTATTGCAAAGGAACGATAAGGACAGTGGTGCTAGATTCATCCTGACACATTCATTTTCTGCCTTGGAATGGAGCGCATCCTTGAAGGGTTGCTCTTCCACTCACTCCAAGGTGTGGTGGGAAAGAAAGCCCCCATTCCAAGTTTCAGGACTAAAACAGCATTAGAAAGAAAGTGATAACTCTAAAGGTTACCAGTTCATGCAAGAGCTATCAATCTTGAGGGCAGAAAAGAACAGTAAATCTAATAGCTATGAAAACTTGCAGGGAGCATCCAAGGGAAAGACACCAATGCCAAATTGGAAAACACCTGCTTCCCCACCCCAATAATGAGACATCTTTAACCAAGACAGCTAGGATGCCTTCCACCAATTGTAGGAAATGCACTTGCACAGTAAGTCCAACATTACATTTTATGACAGTGAAGGAGGATGCTAGAAAGCAGTGCCCATCCCAGGGCAGAGGTCTTGCTGCCTCCGCCTCCTAAAATGAGGCATTTGTCTTCTGAAGGCAAAATAGGTGAAAACTGAGCAGCTTTTGCTCTCCCATTTCTATTCAACAATGTTCTTCAGATTCCTGACAGAGCACGTACAGCTCTGCTAGCTGTGCAGCCAAAGGTCCATGCAGGGAAGCAGGGATTGTTCTAGTGCCCCCAGCTCAAGGGTGTTTAACAGAGCTACAGCCATCCAGCACCTTGCTGATGGGTCCAAAGAAGACACTGGAGAGGCAGTGCTGAAAGGGAGTGACACAACCTGTCTGAGTCTGAGCTGAAGAAACAGAAGCCCGTCTGGCAGCCCTGCCCTGAGCTCGAACAGGCATATTCATTCTGGAGGTGGCCAAAGCACCCATCTCTTTGTCCAGCAACAAGCCAGGGAAATGCAGGTGTGCAATAACCCAGGCAAAGATCCCTGGAAACCTTTTCTGCCCAGAAAAAGTAGGGAGAAAGGACAAATCCCTTCACATTAATAAAAATGCCTGTATCCTTTTAACATACATGCTTAAAATCCTGGATATGTCGAGTGTGTGCCATACTTCCCCTTGAATTGCTTATGGGTAGGAAATAAAATTACGGCTACCCAAGCAATAAAAACAGACACCCCCTTCAAATACTGAGGGATGGTGATGTCACAGGATCAGAGACTCCTCTGCCCATCTTCTGCCATTCGCTGCCACTCACTCCTCCCACCCTGCTCATTCACCCCTTTGGGTCAGTAAACCACCTGCTGTGGCTTCTAGGTTATTGCTGCCCCTGAAGATCCACTTTGGCCAGCAAAGTGGCTGGCATGATTCTTCAGAAACTGGATCAGGCCCAAATTTCCAGGGATAGCCCCCTGCCTAGAGCAGAACCCCTGCCCTGGTTCTAGGAAAAGACACCTCCAGTCAGGCATCCAGGTATTCACTGAAGAGCAATGAAGGCTGCTTTTCAGCCACGGTGGCTCTTCCGGGAGCTTGCCAACCTGTTGCTTCCTCTGAGGGGTTCTGCAGAATGGGCAGTGGTGGCAGCAATTTGGAAATGCATTTATTTATTTAGGAAATTTGTAGGCCGTCCATTACTGTCATCTCTGGACGGCTTACAATATATTATAAATCCTAAACAAAATAATTGAAACTCAACATTAAGAAAACTAAGATCATGGCATCCGGTCCTATCACTTCCTGGCAAATAGATGGGGAAGAAATGGAGGTAGTGACAGATTTTATTTACCTGGGCTCCAAGATCACCGCAGACGGGGACTGCAGCCAAGAAATTAAAAGAAGTTTGCTCCTTAGGAGGAAAGCTATGGCAAAGCAAGTCCAAAACCTCTCATGCGGGCCAGATAAATGGGCATGGCGGGCTGTAGTTTGAGGATCCATGTAATAAATAAATGCAAAGGGTTTTGTGCAAATAAGTTAGTTGCACTTGAGCATTGAAATCAGTGTCAACAGTTAGCTACAATTTAGTGCTACTGATTTCAGTGGAAAGCAAATGAAACTATATTTGTATCCAGCCTGATATCTATCATCTATGTCATTTCATACTGAAGATGTGACTTCTACTTTTTTATATTGCTTTAGATGGTTTGCTCTCATGGAGATCCAGATTCTAGTCATTTTGTTCCTTCGGAAATATGAATGTAGTCTTTTGGATCCACTACCCAAAGAGGTAATGTTTACATAACTTGCCCTTTATCTCATATGTTGATATTTTGGAACATTTCTGAAATAAGGTGCACATTTTGGATCTTTTCTTACCTAGTACTTTGTTGTTGTGGAATGTATCTATCAAAAATGCACTTGAAAACCTGTCAGCTCATTTGTACAGATCTTGCATTTCAGTTTGCTGTTTGTTATCTTTTCTACAAAATTCTGAGAACATAGAACATAGAAACACAGCAAGTCAGAAGGGGTCTCCCAGGCCATCTAGTCTGACCCCTGGTTACAGCTGGCTGTGTTCATGAAATACCTACCATGTGCATGTCCAGCCTATCCTCGAACACCCTCACCGAAGGGGCTTCAACCACCTCCTGTGGAAGCCCATTCCATACCTACAGGTCCTGACTGTCAGGAAGTACTTCAGATCGAACCTGGGTTCCCTGAGCTTTGCTCCATTGGAATGTGCCTTGCCCTCCTCTGCAGGGGAAAACAGGTCTTGATCCACCAACGCATGACACCCCCTCACCTACCTATAAGTTGCCAACAGATCCCCTTGGAGTCTCCTCTTCAAGCTGAAAAGATCCAGTTCCTTCAGTCTCACCTCATACAGCTTCCCCCACAATCCGGCCACCATCCTTGTGGCCCTACGCTGCCCCAATTCTAACCTGGCAGTATCTTTCCTGTAATCTGGAGCCCAGAACTGAACACAGTATTCCAGTTGCAGGTGCACCAGAGTCGTATAGAGTGGCAGTAATACCTATCTCAGTCTAGAAGCCATGCTGTTGGCTATGTATCCAAGGGTGACGTTTGCCTTCTTAACTGCTGCAGCACACTGCTGGCTCATATTCACCCTGCTGTCAACCAGTACCCTGAGATCCCTTTCACAAGTGCTGCTCTCCAGCCACTTGTCCCCCATCCTGTACCTGTGACACCCTTTCCGTGCCCCAAGTGCAAGACCTTGCACTTACCTGCATTGAATGCCATCCCATTGTCCCCCACTCGGGACTTTGTGCTTTAGATCGGTGGTTTTCAACCTTTTCACAGCTGGGGACCAGCGAAAACAGGAAAACCACCTTGGGGACCGCTGAGGCAGAAACAAAAAGCACCAGACACATAGTACAGCATTATGTGTATTAGTTTCCAAACACAATACCAAAACAATGAAAATTCTCCAAAACAAACAGACACCAAGCAACAAAAAATGCCACCAAAGAACAAAATACCAAAATCGGGGTAGCATGGCTCCCACCAGGCTGTCTCTCCCCTCCTTGGTCCCCATTGGCACCAGCGCACACCCACAAACAAAATGCCAACCAAGGAAGAGGTGCTGGAGCAGCGCCAGCCCCCCGCCGGTCTGCAGCTAACACAATGCAGCCCTCCCATGGACCTAGCAGGAAACCTCCTCCATGCTGGGGCCAGTCCACAGTGGTTTTCAACCACTGCTTTAGATTGCATGACAGAAGCAACTGAACACTGAAGTGTAAAATACGTTTTGATTTCACCTATAGTTCTGTTTTCAGCATCAAAACAGGCCTGAAACATATTCATGATAATAATCAAAGGTGCGTGTTTATAATGTCTTGTTGCCTTTCTTTCCTTGGGCAGAGCTATCTTCACTTGGTAGGGACACAGCAGCCTGTGGGACCATGCAGAATTCAATACAAATTGAGAGCATGAAGAAGATCAATGGTGCCCAACCCAGTTTCCTACCAGCGCCTGCCAGACTGAGCGTATGTGGATCTGCTCCACTCCTGCACTTCTTGTGTTATCAGACACTTAATAACTTCAACATCCAGAAATGCATCACAGAATTGGGACATATCCAGAAAAGTGCCAACTTTTTGCATCCTGAAGGCCCAACTAATTATCTGATTAACAGAAAAAGCCAGTTCATAAGGCTGCTGCTTCAAAACAACAAAGAACAAAGTGGATGTGCTGAAGCTGCATAACATCAAAGGGCCTTGTGGTTCTGAAAGACAACATAGCAGCATATTGTAGCATAAACTTGTGAGGGGGATTCTCAGTGAAGTGAGAAGGAATTTGAAATAGAGAAAGTACAGATAATATTTACAGCCGCTGTTCACAAAACACCTGTTGGGTGGTGACACAGACTTAAAATTGCACCGAGTCCCTGGGTTATGGGCAAGTTCTGTTCCTGATACTGTCTTCAAGTTGAATCTGTATGTAAGACAGATCACATTTATAAAAAGCACATAGAACACTTAAAAATACTTTCATACAAACTAAAACATCTTAATCACGATGCAGCACTGTAAAAATAGTAACACAGTAGTAATATAGTAACTGCAGGTAGTGAAGAGAGAAAGAAGTGAATTTTTGATTGACTAAAGCCTAATACTTTCCCAATCACTGATGGCATCTCACCTTTCTCTTATCACATTATTACATCCACTTTAGTTGTGATTTTCTTTTCTGCTATGCATCACTTGCACTTTATACAATACATACAATAAACATTGTATACAATATACATTTTATACAATACATAAACATTGTATTTATGTTTAGGAGGGATGTTTATGAGCCAAATGCAGTACAGAGTTACAGATGGCAACACATCACATGATCCAAAATATGGAGGCATGAATGCACTCCTTTTTCATGATTTCACTAGTACGAAAAACTTGTAGCTCTGCCTCCACGAAATTAGTTCCAATTTAGCTGCATGCCACTTTTTCCCTCCTGCTTGCCTTTCCCTCCTTCCTTCCCTTCCTATTCTTCCTCTGCTTCCTGTTCGGCACCCAAGGGTTCCCACTTGCTGTTTGAGGACAAGGCGGAACTTTGGGGTTTGCTCATTCATAAGTAGGGGTGGTTCTTAACTCTGATGTTTGCCAAGCATTTCAGGGAGAAAATCACTCAGATTCATCTCGAGCTGGACTCCACTAGTGACTCAGAGGCTTCTGGGGAGAGACCAATGTCGCCGTCTGGTCCAAAATTGATGGAATTTCAGTTACTGCGGCCTGATGATGTGGACAAGGTGCTTGGACGAGTATGTCCCACCACTTGCCTATTGGACCCTTGCCCATCTTGGCTAATTAACAATGCCAAGCACTGGATAGGGACCTAGATCTTGGAAGTGGTTAACACCTCTCTGAGGGAGGGCTGGGTACTTGCCCCTTTAAAGGAGGCGGTAGTCCAACCGGTCCTGAAGAAGGTGTCACTGGATCCAGAGATGGCCACTAATTATAGACCAGTGGCCAACATCCCGTTTCTGGGCAAGGTGTTGGAGCGGGTGGTGGCGGGACAACTCCAAGCACTCTTGGATGAAACTGATTATCTGTACCCATTTCAGTCCGGCTTCAAACCCAGGTACGGTACTGAATCTGCCTTGGTCACCCTGTACGATGACCTGTGCAGGGAGAAGGACAGGGGGAGTGTGTCCCTGTTGGTTCTGGACCTCTCAGCGGCTTTTGATACCATTGACCATGCTATCCTTCTGGATAGGCTAGCGGGATTGGGGGTCGGAGGCACTGCTTTGCAGTGGTTCTGCTCCTATCTCAGTGGCCGATTCCAGAAGGTGGTGCTGGGGGACTATGGCTCTGCGCCATGGCAGCTATGCCATGGAGTACCGCAGGGATCCATTTTGTCCCCATTGCTATTTAACGTCTACATGAAACCCCTGGGAGAGGTCATCAGGAGGTGTGGGCTGCGGAATCATCAGTACACTGATGATACCCAGCTCTACCTCTCGTTCTCCACCAATCCAGGTGAGGCAGTGGCTGTGCTGAACCGGTGCCTGGCCGAGGTAATGGGCTGGATGAGGGCCAATAAACTGAAGCTCAATCCAGACAAGACAGAGGTCCTGTTGGTTGGCGGATAAGGCTTCGGGGAAGGGGAATTGAACTTAGTCCTGAATGGGGTTGCACTTCCTCTTAGGGACAAGGTCCATGGCTTGGGAGTGCTCCTCGACCCACAGCTTTCACTGGAAGCTCAGGTGACAGCGGTGGCGAGGAGCACTTTCTTTCAGCTTCAGCTGATCCATCAGCTGTGTCCCTACCTGGAGAACGACTGCCTGGCGACAGTGACACACGCATTGGTGACTTCCCGACTCGACTTTTGTAACGCGCTCTACGTGGGGCTGCCCTTGAAGACGGTCCGGATACTTCAATTGGTTCAAAATAGAGCTGCCAGGCTGCTGACGGGAACTGGGCGTTATGTTCACATGACTCCAGTTCTCCGTCAGCTTCACTGGCTTCCCATTGAAGTCCGGGCCCAATTCAAGGTGTTGGTTATGACCTATAATGCCCTTAACAGCTTGGGTCCTGGTTACCTGAAGGAGCACTTACATCCATATATGCCTGCCCACCCCTTGAGATCAGCGGGAGAGGCCCTTCTCCGGGAACCCTCCATGAAGGATATTAGGAGGGTAAGTACTCGGAGGAGAACTTTCTCTGCGGTGGCGCCCAATCTATGGAATGCGCTCCCCAGAGAGGTCTGCCTGGCACTGTTGTTATTTGTTTTTCGGCGCCAGGCAAAGACCTTTTTATTTAAATGTCATTTTAATTGTTAATATTTATTTTATATCTCTGGCCAGGTCGTCTCAAATTACATTGTTTTTATATTATGATTTTTTATTTATTGTTGTGAGCCGCCCCGAGGCTTCAGCGAATGGGGCAGCATAGAAGCTTCCTAAATAAATAAATAAATAAATAAAACTGGGGGACTGGGTGTGTTGGTTAGTTTCAGGCTCTGAGCAACCATCTGATAGCCAGAACTGGAACTGCCACTACTGTAATTGCAGGACTGGGCTTAGGCCCTCCTGATGAACACCAACTGGGAGACGCTGGGGGCGGTGGTGGTGGGGAGCTAAGTAAGAGCAAGTCCCTCCCTCCAATGGTCGCCTCAACAGTGCAGGTCTTCTTGTGAGCTGCAGCTTGACCTGATGCTTGCTTGATCTTGCTTCCACTTGGCCATGCTGGTACTCTGGCTTTGCTGCACCTTCTGCTGCCCCCGAGTCCTGCCTGATTGACCCTGTCTTGGGTATCTGCTGCCTGACCTGTCCTGGTTCTAAGGGTGCCCTGGGCTCTTTTTTTGCCTGCCTTGTTCTGTACCTTTGACTCGGTCATGGTTGTGTCCTTGAATGTAGTCCTGGTTCCAGACTTTGGCGTTTCTCAACTACAACTCTGTCTCTGAGGCAACTACCAGACTCTGGACATCATTTGGGTCCTGGTGCCTCAAGTGTCCCGAGACTCAGATTTAAAAAAAATGCTGCCACTTCTGATGCCTGATATATTTGTTCACCTGCGTGGAGACTGGCCTGTCCATTCTATGGAGAATGCAATTCAGCTTTGCTTGTAACTGATGGCATTTCACACTGGAAAATAAAGCAGTGTATAAGTACCTGATTTTGTAGATGATACTACTATATGATAGCGCTGTGTCAGAAAAGATGTGGGGATAGACTTGGCATGTGGGTCCGCTACAGGGTTTGGTTCCTGTTGCTCTATCTGTGTCATGCGCTATTTGGTGTTATGAACTAGCTATTCTAGGTTGGGTGGCTGCCTGTAGCCAAGTACACGCCTACAGCTCCAGGCATATGAGAGGGGCACGGCATTGCCTAGGTACATCCCTGATGGCGCTTTTGCAAGGTTTTAGGTGGGAGCTGCAATTAGCTGCTTTGACTGTTAGAACTGTGGTGGTAACAGTGTGTACTTTCTAATTACACAATTTACACTTACCTCCACCCTACCTGCCCTCTCACACACACCAAAAGTGCGTGTGTGTGTGTGTGTGTGTGTGACTGTAAATCAGGAAAATATCTCATGCCTCCAAGGACGTAGGCTGTAGACCATAAACACTTGTGCCCATGATGCTTCGAGGCACTACCAGATGTCTCGTTTTTCTTGCAGTAGACTTGCATGGCTACCTCCCTGGACACTTTTAAATGTACTTTGATTTGTTCTTGCTCTCCAGCTACATGAATGCTGGACAAAAGTGTGCGGGTGTTGAATGCTGCTCAAATTTGCATGGAAGCATTTGAGTCCTACATTTCACAGAGGAGCCTGGATAGGTACAGGGCATTGTTCAGTGGGTAACCAGATAGGAGACGTGGGCTGTGGCTATGGCCATTTATCAGCCTGAAGGGTGTACTCCCATGGCCTTGGCCTAAGTGTGCAGATCCCGTCAGACTTGGAGGCTTGTGTGTACCCAAAGGCTGGAGCAAGCTGCAGGAGAGGCAGTCTGTGCCGTTGCTGTGCTGTGCCCTGTGCGTTTTATCTGGATGGTAATGTTGGCTATCTAGATAATCCGTCAGGGAGAGGGAGGAGCCAGGCTGCATTGCCGGTAGGAACTGGCTGAGGGTGACAGCCCCAGCCTCCTCCTCTCCCTGCTGCCCAGTACACCCCAGTAATGTCCATTGCTAAACTATAGAACAGGGGTGATACATAACACAGGATACAATAACAACCAACAATTTCATGCTGCCTAAACTCATACCCTGAGTGGTTATGTGCAGCAGCTGTTAAGAGCTGTGAACTCTGCACTGAGGATGACCAGAAATTTGGCCTGGGTAATTATCAGCTCTTCTTCATCTGTGCCAGATGGTGTCTCACTTTACTAAAGCTACGCTAGGAAGATATCCATTCTAACTGCTGTTGTTGTTAGTCAAGAAGTCATGTCTGACCCATCGCGACCCCATGGACAACATTCCTCCAGGCCTTCCTGTCCTCCACCATCTCCCGGAATCCACTCAAGCTCACACCAACTGCTTCAGTGACTCCATCCAGCCACCTCATCCTCTGCCGTCCCCTTCTTCTTTTGCCATCTATTGTTCCCAGCATTAGACTCTTCTCCAGGGAGTCCTTCCTTCTCATTAGGTGGCCAAAGTATTTGAGTTTCATCTTCAGTATCTGGCCTTCTAAAGAGCAGTCAGGGTTGATCTTCTCTAGAACTGACCGGTTTGATCACTTTGCTGTCCAAGGGACTCGCAGGAGTCTCCTCCAGCGCCACAATTCAAAGGCCTCAATCCTTTTGCACTCAGCCTTCCTTATGGTCCAGCTTTCACAGCCATACATTGCAACTGGGAAAACCATAGCCTTGACTATACACAATTTTGTTGGCAGGGTGATGTCTCTGCATTTTAGTATGCTGTCTAGATTTGCCATAGCTTTCCTCCCCAGGAGCAAGCATCTTTTAATTTCTTGGCTACAGTCCCCATCTGCGGTGATCTTTGAGCCCAGGAAAATAAAATATGTCACTGCCTCGATTTCTTCCCCATCTATTTGCCAGGAAGTGAGAGGACCGGATGCCATG